AAGTGAGGGTAGCTCAATGACATGCTCAACTAGAGTTGCTCTTCGCGGCTCCCGCAGGGCGAGCACAATGCCCCTCACAAAGCTCTTCTCCTGAGCACCGCACATGCTTCTTTCGGGCTTCGACGGAGACCACCATCAAGCCGTCTAGGAGGTGGCAACCTCCAAGAGTAACAAGCACCACCGGCTTGCAAGACGACCACCTAGTGCCACTTGATGCAACCTCATGATAAAATCGCACTAGAATCGCTCACTCACTCGATCGGATGAACACTATCAAGTGAGTTAGAGGGCTTCCAAAGGTCGTGTGCATCGGACCAAAGGTCAACCACCACTTCTATTTATACTCCCATGGGCTAAAATAGCCGTTGCCCCTTCACTGGGCATTTTTTGGGAAGACCGAACGTGAAGGTCGTGTGCATCGGATGCGTCCGGTCGCTGCCTGACTACCATGTGTCCCATTCAAACTAGCCGTTGTCACCAACGGCTCTCTCTGACATGTCGGATCAGACTCGTCCGGTGTGTCGACCGGACGCAGGAGATCCAGCGTCCGGTCGAGTCTAAAGAGCTCCCAGAGCTGCTCAACCGTGACTAGACGCGTCCGGTGTGACCGACCGGACGTAGGACAGGCAGCGTCCGGTCGAGTCTAGAGAGCTCCTAGAGCTGCTCAACTCCGACCAAACGTGTTCGATGTGGCCGACCGGACGAGCCCCTACGTCCGGTCCACTCTGGACCAACACCAGTGCTCCACATCGCCACGACTGGACGCAGCACAGTGATTGCTCAGCATCTGGTCACTGCTATGAGTCAGAGTCTGGTCATTAATACCGGACGCGTCCAGTCGCCATACCGGACGCGTCCGGTCACTCTGTGACCAGCGCGACTAACTCCTTTTCTTCACCAACTTCTTCACCTTTGCAAATGTGCCAACACCACCAAGTGTACACCACCATGTGTATATGTGTTAGCTTTTCATAAACATTTTCCAAAGGATTTGCTACTCAACTTGCCACGCCACTCGATCCTAACGATGATGCAAAGTTATATCACTCGAGTGGCACTAGATGACCGATATGCAAACAAGTTTAGCCCTCTTGATAGTACGGCCATCTATCCTAAACCCGGTCATCAACTTTTCTACACACCTATGACCGGTGAAATGAAATGCCCTAGGTTATACCTTTGTCTTGCGCATTCCATTCCATCTCCTCCAATGTCGATGCAACACATGCACCAACACGATCAACAATGATATGATCCACTTCATATCATCACGTGATCATATTGGTTCATCGATCTTGACTTCACTTGCTTTTCACCGTTGCCTTCGTCCATCGGCGCCAAGTCTTGCTCAAGCTTCACCGCCACGCGGTCCATCGCTCCAAAGCCTCCAACTTGCCCTTCACGCTTGCAATCGGTCCATCAAGCCAAGTCATGTCTTGATCTTCTCCACCTTGATCACATGACTCAATGTCATGTCTCATGTGCAATGAGCTCCTTCATCATCACATGTGTGAGCTTTGCAACATCTCCGAGCCATTTCCACCTCCATGGCATATGTTGCTCACACACATGTACATATGGGCTAATCACCTATGTATCTCACATAAACACAATTAGTCCACCTAGGTTGTCACTCAATTACCAAAACCACACAAGGACCTTTCACTTGGCTTGCCAAGAACAAGGCGTGGGAATGATGCAGTATATGTTGTAGTTGATAGATTCTCTAAGATGGCTCATTTCATTCCATGTCGAAAGACAACAGATGCTCATCATGTGGCTAATCTTTTCTTTAGAGAAATAGTTAGGATGCATGGTGTTCCGAGATCAATTGTTTCAGATCGTGATAGCAAATTCCTTGCTTCATTTTGGCTTGCATTATGGAAGCAATTCAACATTGAACTGAAATTTTCAAGCACAGCACATCCCCAAACAGATGGCCAAACAGAAGTAGTGAACAAGTTCTTGGGTAACTTAATTCGATGTATATGTGGAAAGAAGAAAGGACAATGGGATTTAGTCTTATCACTTGCTGAATTTGCTTATAACAATTCAGAGCATAGATCTACATGCAGGAGCCCATTCTCCATTGTCTACACAAAAGTTCCAAAGCATGTGGTTGATTTAATAAAACTACCTTCAAGGGAGAATTCAAGGTCAGCAACAAGCTTTGCTAACAACTATTCTAATTTGTTCAAAGAAGTCCATGGTGTCCTAGAAGCGTCAAATCAGAAATACAAACAACTGGCAGACAAACGAAGAAGACCAATGTCATTTGCAGTTGGTGACCAAGTAATGGTATATCTTAGAAAAGAGAGATTGCCAGCAGGAGTTCATGGAAAGCTAAGGTAAAGGAAATATGGCCTGTTTTTTATTTTGAAGAAGATAAATGACAATGCTTATGTTGTTGATCTACCAAGAAAGATGAATATTTCCAACACTTTTAATGTGGCTGATCTATCGCTTTATCAGCCACAACAACATCTTTATGAAGATAACTCCAGGTTGAGTTTCAATCAAGTAGAGGAAAATGATGAGGGACATCATATAGATGGATCATGAACATTCAAGTGTATTCAAGCATATGAATTCAAACTAGATTTTGATACTAAGAGTTAGAGGAGAAATCTGATTTTACTACTAGAATCATGAATTCAAACTGAGTTTTTCCTCTATGTTTCATGGAGAGTTGCTTAGTCTAGAAGTAATGTGATGTCATAGCATATGTCATATACATGATACTACAAGATATTAAGGTGTCCTATGAGTTGTTTCTTAGGTGTCATTGAGTAATATATTAGTTGTCATCTAGTAGGCTATTAGTTGTCATATTAGGTGTATATGAGTTGTGTAAGGGCTCATAGCCTATAAATAGAGGCAATGTCCTCAAGTTTTGTAACTTTTGTCTTGTATTTCCCACCATATGAATAGAACTCCAGGTTTCTATCTTAGATCTTGGACTAGATCTTGTTGTTGAGCTTTGGATTGAGCTCGTATTATCCGTGGATTCGGATTGTTGTCCGTGGATTCGGACTGCCCTTAGGGCGTTATCTACTAGCACATTGAAGTTGTTTCTTCAACACTTTGTGCTATTTCTATATATCAGCACCTTGGAGTTGATCCTCTAAAATAGTGTGCTGCATCAAGTGACGGCGGAGCAGGAGCATGAGCAGGCAGGGCGGGCGGCAGGAGTAATGGAAGGGACGCGGGGCGCGGAGCGCGGAGCAGAGTGGGGTGAGGTCGGGTGCGGCGCCGTCACGCTGGAGAAGGCCGCGGCTAGCGGACCCCGCGATGGAGGCTCCTGCGGCGGTCGCATGCGTGCGACACGATGGAGGAGCTCGCGGTGGTTGCATGCATGCAACGGTGGGGAAAGAAAATGTTGTTGGCCTTTTTTTTCTTTTTGGAGAAACCGTACTGAAGATAGAGCGGAGCAATCCTATTAGGCCCGATCACTGCACAGGCCCGGGAACAGCACATCCGGACGGATGCACTTGGACTGATGTCCTTACTAGAACATTATCGTAAACAATATAGTATAAAATAAATGAACGGTGAAATTGTGCCTTATAATAATCAGAACGGAGAGAGTATAACATCATGAGAACGCTAGATGCCCCAATAAAAAGCAGCTGCACCTAAAATATTTCTTTTCACATATATATACTCTTATAATGCAGAACTCTAATACCATATTCCTGTGCAATTTGGTGAAGCCACACTTAGGCCAATCCTAATGAGAGTTTAATCCGCATTTAATGAGCTGGCCAATCCTAATGAGAGTTTTATGCACATTTAATGAGCTTAAACATCAGCAAAAATGATGGCATGGCAATGGCACACGATCCGTGAACTTGTAATTCTAAGCTATGAAATTCCAATTTACCCATTGAACTTTCATGCGATTCGTGAACTGGTATTCATTCTTGCGAATTTACAATTTCATAGGATTCGTGGAAGATTCTAATTCATTTTCATGAATTTCATGAGTCCATGTTATCCAAAACAAAGTTTGGAAGGTCAAATAGTGCTTAAGAAGGATACCTTTCGGTATGTGGGATCGATGCTACAGAAGAATGGAGATATTAATACGGATGTTAGCCATAGAATCAAAGCAGGGTGGATCAAGTGACGATAAGTTTCTGGCATTCTCTGTGACAAAGAGGGTACCACAAAAGTTAAAAGGCAAGTTTTATGGAACGACGATTAGACCGGCTATGTTGTATGGAGCAGAATGTTGGCCTACAAAGATTCAACATGTTCAACAACTTAGTGTTGCAGAAATACGTATATTGCGATGGATTTACGGTCACACAAGAATAGACCGAGTTCGGAACGATGGTATACGTGATCGCCTAGAGTAGCACCAACTGAAGAAAAGCTTGTCCAACATCAATTGAAGTGGTTTGGCTATGTTCAAAGAAGGCCTCCAGAGGCACCAGTGCATTGTAAGTCCTAAACCAAACTAATAATATGAGGAGAGAGTAGAGGAAGACCAAAATTAATATTAGAGAAGGCAATAAAAAGAAATTTAAAAACTTAGAATATACTAGAAATCTATATTTGAATAGAAGTGCCTGAACCATGACTTACTTTGTTGTATGTTATCCAAAACAAAACAGGACTGACAGATCCATAATTTGTGTGTGCTGAAATGTTGCCTGCGGCTGTGCAGGAGGGAGATGGTACGAGATGACGTATGCTTTACTTGTTTTAAGCGAACTCGTGCAAAGGACAGCACACAACAGAGTGAACAAAGTACCTGGTAGATGTTCCTCAGCTTTTGCTGGCGAGTTCAAATCAACACAAGAAAAACAGCAGCTATTTGTTGCTAACTGCTAGTCTGATCATCAAGATGGAATTATGGACACAGAAAGTCAACTCCAACAAAAGCAAAAGTGGCAGTGCATTTGTTATCCAACAAACATACAATTCATTCATGGTACACAGATTAAACTTAAACTGGAGTACTTAAGGGCAACTCATTTGACGACTATCAAAGATCACGAGGTGTTTGCTTGGGCCTTGTTGAGGATGACACCTTCGTACTTCACCTGGAACCACTTCATGGCATCTTCTTTGGTCACCCTGTGCTGGATGCCTACGCGAGACTTGCACCTGCGCCGGCGAGCGACACGGTAACCAGCCCGCTCCAGAACGACGTAAAAGTCCATACCATAAATACCAGTAGACGGGTCATACCTGGAAAAAAGGCAAGCAAGTTATTTCCGAACACACAATAGTGATAACTGGTATGCAATGCCTTCGCAGATATCCAGTTCAAACACAAGATAATGAGAAAAAAGATCATATCCTAGATAGAAAGGAACGGACAAAAGAACATTTAGTCCCTCCATTCCACAAAGGTTGTAGTTCTAGTTTTGTCCAAAGTCAAACATTTTCTATCTTCAACCATCAGTTCTTAAAATATTTATACAGTTTAACATATGTATATTGTGCAAGTATTTCTCATGGTGAATCTAAAAACATAAAAGTTATAATGTTAAACTTTACAAATTTCTAGAAATTGATGGTCCAAAAGAAAAAAGGTTTGCTTCGGACAAAACGAAAAAAACCTTTCTGAAACAGGGTAGCATTTTAGCAGTTAACACACTGTTCAAAATGATTGACTGCAGACGATACCCAACAGTTACCAAGAAAACTAAATAGCAATCAAACTCAGACAGTGACTTTACAAGAACAAACTTCTTTGAGAATCATTATAGCATGATGTGTGGTTGCTTCACACAGAACTGCGCCACTTTCGACTGCAAAACTAAATCTAATCTACCTAGTAAAACTGAAACAAATTATTTCCTTCATGTAATAGGGCATCTCTAGAGGTGCAAAGCAAAGACACATCATAAAGAAGCTAGCTGGAACTACAAGCTCTAGTGTTTGGTTCATTAGGAATTTCTAAGGCCTGACCCATCAATGAAATATATTATTCTCTCATGAGCATTGCATGGCTCCCTCTGTCAGGTCCATGCTTGGGCAAACTCCAAGGCACAGAAAGAATTAGTTTTCTATTCATTGCACCAGGTTCAAATTCTAGGCCAATGCTCAGGTTTTCCTTAGCTCCATGTATTCCAATGTAATTCAACCTTGCTATGACCGGAAGGTCCCGGGTTCGAGTCGCGGTCTCCTCGCATTGCACAGGCAGGGGTAAGGCTTGCCACTGACACACCCTTCCCTAGACCCCGCATAGAGCGGGAGCTCTCTGCACTGGGTACGCCCTTTTTTTATCCCTTTCTCTCCTCCTAGCACCCAATTAGAGTAATGTTATCAGGACGGCTGGTCGAGCCTGGTCGCCTGGGGACCGTCCAGGACGTCCAGGATGATTAGTCGTCGTCCAGGACGATTAATCGACCCTGGACGAGTCCCCTGGTCGTCCCGGTCATCCCCTACATATGGTCATCCCCTATATTATATTATATTATATATATAGTTTTGCTAGGGCCTTCTCAACAAGAGATGCAACATCTGGAGCAGCTGAGGATGCTGAACCAGCAGCAGTTGAGCCTGATGCAACTGAGGAGGCTGGAGCAGAACCAACTTCTCCTTGAACATCGGCCTCAGGCATGTACACTTCCACCTGCGCACCCGCTGGATCTGCAGGCCTGTGCGCCTGCAGCAGCAGCCGCTGAAAGGAAGAGAGGGAGGGCAGCTGGAAGGGAGGGAGTAGCAGCTGGGAACTGGAAGGGAGGACCAGCTGGGAACCGGAAGGGAGGAGAGGGAGCTGCAGAACTGCAGCAATGGAGGCGGCTGCTGCAGCTGGACGGGAGAGGTGAGAATAGTGTATGTGTTCTGCTGACTTCTGAGTGAGAAGCTGAGGGAGTGAGGGGTGGGAAAGAAGAGAAACCCTAATGGGCTTGGGCCAAAACATAAGACAGCTAGCTAGGCCCAACTCTGAGATACAGCCCACTCTCTGGCTGGACGACCACACAGCCTGGACGGACGATTAATCGTGACTGGACGACGACTAATCGGACGACCAGGTTTCTGGACGGTCTGGCCAAGTCGGAGGCCCTGGTCGAGTAGCTAAGACCGTCCGGGATGATTAGTCGCGATTAATCGGACGTCCTGATAACATTGAATTAGACACAACATTGGAGATGCCCTAAAATCACAGTTTACCTCAAATACAGTCTAGATATTCCATAATCCCCATTTATCGCTTAAAAACTAACACCTAACTAAATTAAGTGTGACAATAACATAATTAAACTAGGACAGCACAGTACAGAGAACATCATAAAGGCAAAATTCCTTAGACCCCAGGTGACAATTTAAATTGATAAACAGACAATATCATCAGTCATCAGCTAACAGCTAAGTAGACATACAAGGCATGACTGAATTTGAGGTCAACCGAACAAGGTCAATAAAGCCATCGTGACAGCTAAACTTTGACTTGTCCTGCCAGTATTTGAGTCTTTAGCTAGAACTACACTGAACTACTACAGAATGAATGGCCAGTTATCTCCATTATACACATTCAAATAAACAGGGGTTTCTATACTTTAGGAAACCAAACCATATAACAGTGCAATATTGCAATAGATCATTTGCATAATTTGTAAATGGGATAAAAAAGATATCTTACTTGATGCCAAGATCAATGTGCTCCTGAATACCAAAACCAAAGCAGCCAGTCTCACTGAAGTTCCTCCTCAGAAGCTCATACTCCTTCACCTTGAGGCCACTCTCAAGAAGCTGCATCGCCTTCTCACCCCTGACTGTAACATAGCATGCGATCTTCTCATTACGACGAATACCGAAAGACCTCACAGTATACCTTGCTGCAAGAACACCCAACCATCATCGTTATCAGCACTGGTATAAAAGAACTTAAAGAATCATTGATTAAACGAAACTTGACGAAAGGTTATTACCCTTGGAGAAAACAGGGGACTGCCCACTCAACTGCTCCAACACCTATGATAGCAGTGGGAAACAAATTAACAATCGCATCAACCACTCGGCCTCTAGTAATCTAAATTCTAAACAGATAATGAAATTCACTCCACAATCATGAAACTATTAAACTGCCTAGAGCTCCATGCCGAGTTCTCTTGAAATAAATTGCAAGCAGTAGATCTACAAACTCGGGCGCTAGACCATAGCAAAGTCGAATTGAATCGGGTCCCAAATGCGCATGCGACAAAGGAACATAAAATTGCTGTTTTGTGTGTAGAGTTCGAACCGATATGAAATACCTTGGCGGCGCGGGTGAGTCGATCACCACTCTCTCCAACGGAGATGTTGAGCACGAGCTTCTGCACCTTGATCTCCCGCATCGGGTTCGACTGCTTCTTTTCTGACGCCTGCGGAACACAAACGAGTCAGCAACCCCCGTGTCGTCAGGAGGAAAGGTGCCGGAAATGCCGAGCATTTCGCGTCGCCGGCGTAGTAGTAGGAGCTCACCATGGTGATCGTGGAGAACAGAGACGGCGGCGGAGGGGGTAAGAGACGGGAGGGTTTTGGTGTTGGGATGTGGCTGCGGCAGTGGAAACCCTAAAATCCCCGTGTCTTATAGTGCTGGCGGCTACCACGCTTGGTGTTAGGACCGTCCGATTAGGCAATGGACGGAGTAGATCAGCAGCACGGTTCTGTAAGAGTGTTCTATACTTCTGTGATTCTGTCCAGCGTGGCTGCGTTAGCACAAGACAGTATGTGGCTTGTTTGACAGGGTTCTTTGTGACTAATTTCACCAGTGAATTAGAGAATCCCATTTACGTGATTTTATTCTACGAGAGAAGCCGTAGAATGGAGAACTCTATGTTTTTTTTTTCTGAAGCCGTTCGCAAAGAAACCCTACCAGACGAAAACTTACTCCATGAATACTTGTATTTGTTTTTATAAATTTGATCAAATTTGAAATAGTTTGATTTAGGACTATTCTTTTTGATAGAGGTACTATCGCATTAGTATTTGAATTTGGAAGAATTGCTTAGGCACATCCTTGTACAAAGTAGAAAAAGACTTAGCTTTTGTTACACAGTCGAAACAAAAACAACTAACATCTCAAATCAATACGATTGGTTTGTCTAACTAAAGCTCTTTTTTTTGACATTGGAATGTGATGTCACACTACCCAACCTAAGATAATACTTACTTTCATAGACCAAGGTTGTATAACAAAAGTCTACAACTTGTTATCCTAATTAAACCTTAAAGATTACAAGGTAAATCCTAACTGACATAGGCCTCAAATATAGCACACCATGTGGACGGATCCACACTAATAGTGTCCCTAATAGAGCCAGCGATTTCGCTCGCTGAGTTGGCCTCCGAAAGAATACAAAACAAAAGGAATGGACATTTTGAGCATCAAACATGAGTGGTCTAAAACTGCATAGACTATTGGTTCTTTTGGAAGTCGTGCGAGATAGGCGACGAAGAACTCACCAGCGAGTTGCTTTTTAACCGTATCTCTCCTCCACGTTGGACATCAGTCGCCGACGTGGCTAGTCATTGGGGACGCCCTAAGGTAGGTATGACTCCAGCCGCTCCCCCTCTTCATTTCTCAAGACGGACAAACAGAAAGTGAGGGGGAAAGGAGGAAGAAAACAAGATGAGCCCCTCACACACTCTGCCAACATCTACCTCTATTATAACTAGCTTAAATCACAATTACTATGTGCATAGGGCACATGTGGATCGCCTTCCTTCCTCTGCCTCGTCTTGTCCACCTTGAAGCTTATTGGCATTGTTGCTCCTCATTAGTTTTCAACAAATAGATGGGCAATTATTAAAGAATCTATCATGTCTATTTAAGCAATCATTAAAAATCTAGCCACTTCTTTTTTGTCTCAAGTAGTGGGATCATTTAGCACACCACTTACAACTTTCTTCCATGCACTTAAACCTAAAGGATTTACCTGCACTACCCAACACAACATTTATTCTAGCAACACTACATCTCCTCTTAGCCAATGTTCTTATGGCGGTAAGGCGACACGCGGCGACCCACCCCCTTCGAGACGCCTAGGCGAATAAGGCGCACGGTAAGGCGACACCATACACATAGCCTAACCTACAATAGGGTAGCACAAACATACACTGATACATACCTTTTTGCTGCCAATTCTGGAGCACATGTACCATTGATCCTCCTCTTTCCAGTTGCCCTTGTTGGCTTGTTCCAAGTAGCATGCATTCCCTTGCAGGTTTCAACATGTGATGAATGTAATAATGTAACAGAAATACTTTGTAATCATCAATGAAATGAAATGAGGATCAAACATTCAAATGAAATACCTTTTGATGATCTGAAGTCTCTTTTGTTTTCCCAAGCAGCAAGCTACAAATGCAATAAGAAATTCAGCAACACTAGGACACAAGCCTAAAATAATAGCACTCCACAATCACATTACAGTTACAAACATTCCATAAACATAAACTAGAGTCTTAACAGAATAACAACCATATTAAACTAGAGTCTTAACAAAATAACAGCCACAAACATAAACTAGAGTCTTAACACAAACATTCCAACTAAGCAATCAACTCCTAATGCCCATCATCAAACTCATCATGGACATTTGTAGCATCCAAATTCTCTCCATCACCATTGGTGCCACTTGGAGCATCCTCACAATCGCTCACATCAGCATCATCATGTGAATCATGGTCATCTTCCTCTTCTTCATTGGCTGAACCTGAGTCTTCTTCAACCAGCCCTGAAGGTCCATTTCTTGCACGCTTGTTGTTGCTGGCTTTCCTTTGAAGATTGCGGCCTCGCAGCGAGCTTGATGCACCAAGAGCTTCATCAACAAGTTCCCATGTAAGACCATTCTCATTCTCAGCAACCTCACATCCACGCGCACCTTGAGAATGAACATAGCAGTAGTCAGCCCACTCATTGTCCCAATCAAATTGATCAATGACCAAAGGGTCAAAACTTTTTCCTTTTTTCTCACGCCTTATTTGAAACCTAGTCTTCATCTTCCGGTTGTAGGAAACAAAGACAATGGCATTCAACCTCTTATGCAGCAACCTGTTCCTTTTCTTTGTATGGATCTACAAAAAAAGAATGGGAAAACAGCAAACAAAGAGTAATTATCTGGCTGAAATTGTGAACAGCAAAGAAAATAAGTAAATAAGATGAGATGACATATGGCAATACTCACAAACTCAAATGTGCTCCAGTTTCTTTCGCAGCCTGATGATGAAGCGCAAAGACTCACAATGCGTCTAGCAAACCTTTGAAGCTCAATAGCACGGCCACCATACGAGCGCCACCAATCCACTAGATTGCCAAATACAAATATATATTAGAAATTAGGAATAAAATAGACTTGCTGGAATTAAATTGGGAAAATGTAAACAACAGTACAGTAACAACACTCACAAGGGCTTAGTTTCTCAAGGTTTTGCTTGGCCATTTTGTTTGAGAATGCATCTCCCCTAAGGGCTTCATAGTCCAAGGATTGAGCATCAATCTTGTCTCTAAGTTCTTCATCCTCCACCATTCTTGCAAGCACATCATGAAAAGAACCTCTTAGTTGCCCAACAACTGCATCTTCATTATCCCATATGAGAGGATGTAATTTTGTTGGATTCAAGTATAGTATAGCCCCATACAAAGGATGGTCCATTTGTTTCACCCAACGTTTATCAATGATTTCCAAGATTTTCTTTAGAAGGAGCTTCTTGCTATCAACAGCAAAGCTTAGCTTTATCTTCTCTTTTGCTTGATTCATTAGTGATGTGACCTCTAGCATTGCAGGCTTCTCATCACCATCAACCACCCTAAGAACAATAAGGAGTGGAGCTGAAGCTCTAAGGCAATCTTCAACTGAATTCCAAAACTCAACAGAGAAGACAATGGAATGCACATTATCACCAGCATTAGTTTTTGCCAATTTATTTTCAGACCATTCTTCACTATGAAATAAAGCCTTGAGAGCATCCTTGTGCTTGTGCAAACTTTTCAAAGTGAGAAAAGAAGTGGCAAATTGAGTTGCTGCATGTCTCACAAGATCAGCCCCACATGTCTTCTCTCTCATTAAACTAAGAATCCTCCCATGCCTATAGATGAAAGTTGTGATACGTCTTGCTCATGCAATGGTCTTCTTGAATGCCTACAATTTCCCTATTTCTTCCAGCATCAGGTCCAAACAGTGTGCATCACATGGGCTCCAAAACAGTGTAGGAATCCTCTCTATTAGAATCCTACCTACAGCCTTGTAGTTAGCCCCATTGTCAGTGATCACTTGGACCACCTTCTCCTTCCCAATCTCATTAATCTTCTTCCCTAACAGATCAGCAAGCATAAAAGCATCATGTACTTTAGCAGATGCATCAACAGACTCTATGAAGTATGTGCCTTCAGGGATGTTCACAAGAAAATTGATCAGATGTCGGCTCCTCCTATCCATCCATCCATCCATCAAACATAAGAGTGCAGCCATATTGCTTCCATGCCTGCTCATGTTCCTCCCTCACATTGCTAGTCAATTTCATAGCATAATTAAGCAATGGTTCTCCAAGCAGGTGGGGAGAAGGTGGCACATACCTAGAACCAAAATTGTGTTGTTGCCTCAATTGCAATCTGAAACTGTCGTGCTACTGCTAAATTAAAGGGTATGCCACATTCATAAAACCACAATGCCCACTACATATCCACGTAATGCTTCTCCTCTTTGGACTTAGTCTTAGCTGGAATTGTGGGTTGAGAACAGCCTTGATGCCTTTGATCAACTATATTCTTTAGGTGTTGGGCGAAGCATTTGAATAATTGACTTATTCCCCTTTGGAACTTCCTTGGTCTTCTTTGTTGTAGGAGCCTTGAACAAATAGGTTGCACGCCTTTGTTTGGCTGCAGTCCTTGAACTTGGCTACACCCTAGAGGTTTGGGATCCTTTAGGTGCACTTTCTCCAACTTCAGTCAATTCAGCTGCGCCTGCTTCCAGCAGCACCACATCTGCTTCCTCTTGCTATTCATCACCATCTTCTAAGAACAATGGCCTTCTCCTCCTGTTGGATTCCAAATAATCTCTCATCTCCTTTCTAATAGCAGTAGTCGTATTCAGACACATTTTGACATCTCCATAGCCACCTGCCAAATGTTGCTTCAACCTTTTTATCCCTCCACAAACCTCAACGTCACAAAGGGTATGTAACACCCTCGGTGTTACACTGTAAATCATTTACTAAAACACTGCATAAGCATTGTATTTATGTGTTAATGTATGCAATATAGTGTGTGAATCAACTTACGTAACTTAAAACGACTGACGAAAATGCATAACGAAAGGTCGTTCGTGACGTATGAAATTATTAAGTACGGATGTTCGTGAATTTTTATTGAACAAAAACACTATAGAACGTATATATAGAACTTTAATAAAGTTAGAAGTACAAACCTTGTAGATGATGATGAAATACCTGTGGTCGATTAATGAATTCACTAGCTAACTGGTCTAATAGGTTGGAAATTGGATTTGATGCGAATCTGATCAAGACTTAGTCAATTTCGTAAGTCTGAAAAGTGGTTTGACAAAGCAAGGTTTGGTAATTTTTGTAGAAGAATCAGGGTTAAGGAGTGGTGTGGTTTTAGGACTTGTTTTAGTAGCCTAACATGTCCTCTTGAGTATAGAAAAGGTGGTTTGGCATTTGAATCAACGAATTGGATTTTTGGGACACTTTAAAAAGCGTGCAAGGCATGTTTCTAGACGGTTTCAGCGTCTGGGCGCGATCACCGTGCCTCGGCACTCGGCGTCACAGCGCCGGCTCGCCAATGCGCGCACCACCACGCAGGCTCCTTGTCGCCGCTACCGTGCTTAGGCACGTGACTCATGCACGCACTCACACGCACCGCTTTACCCCACCGCTGTCGTCGCGGGCCTAATGCCCTGGCCAGTCCGCTGTCACCTACCTCGCTATGTCATCGCGACTGCTGCTGGCCGCGGTCGCGATTGATGGGTCGCCCGCGTGCGCCCACACCGCTTGCGTCGCGTCCACCTATGTTGCTGGACCGCCATCCCATCACCTTGCTGCGCGCGCTATCACCATCGTGCCACAACACGCTGCCATCGCGTCCGCCTACGCCTATGCGTTGTTGCCGTCTCGACTTCATGCACGTGGCCTTGCCGAGGCCACCCGCTTGTTGTTCGCCATTAATGGCACCACATTCGTGCTACTACGCTGCCACCGCCCGCACGCGGGTATGCCCCCTCTCCTGGTTGCGTTGGCTCGCAGTGCTTGCACATGTGCTGGCTTTGCGTCCTACCAAAGCTTGGACAAGCAGCCGGACCCATCCCCTCTTTCCTCTCCCTCCTCTGTTGCCCATGCCCATCAGGCAGCGCCTTCAATCCGGCACGGATAGGTCATATCTCTTCAATTTGGTGTGCTTCCGACTCCGTCTTCTAGCCTGCTAACCAACCGACCCTGCACCGTGTCCAATCGCGCCTTGGCAAGCTTCAATTTGGAGCCAGACGTTCGTCATCGCACCATTAAAGGCTTAGCCACCTTTGCCGAGGGCATTACCCGCCTGGTCCTCCCAAGCCCAATTGGTTGCACCCCCAGCCTTGCCTCACAGGCCTCTCGATGGGTGCACCCCACTTGCACTGCTACTGCCTTCCTAGCATCGCTGACACGGTCGTGCCACCGAAGCCTATCATGATGCTTGTCATGTGCGCGTGGCCGGACTCACCCGGTCCGTCCCTGGTCAAGCCATCACCATAGGTAGCTTTGGGGGTGAGTTGCTTGTGCCCATCCTTTGGTTCATTCGCTTTGTTTGTGCCTTGGCTCACGGGAACATGGCTGCCACCGCCTCAGGGTGTCCACCGCCGTGGAGGGAGCTCTAGGCCGTGTCTCCATTCATCGCTTCACTGCCCACCACTTCATGTTTGCATCTAGGTGGGCATTGGCTCGCTATCGGGGCCGGAGAGGGGCTAGGTTGGCCGATGTCACCGCCTAGTGCCGTCGCCGCCGCGCTGGTGCGCGCGTGGGTGCCTGAGGACCTAGCTGTGGTAAAGATAGATGATTCCGAGGGCTAGATTGCTTAAGTCCAGACTGTAGGAATAGTGCTGTGGACTGTGGATCGATTCGGTATTAGCGCAGGGACGTTTTAGCAAATGTGTTGAAGCGAGCGGGCCTCCCCTTTGTGGGCCATCGCCGTGCGGTTGGGCCGTGCCCGCGTGGGCCGCGCTAATGGGTCATGTGTGCGTGCGCGCTGTGCATGCGTGAGCTGAGCTGTGTTGGGCCGCGCCGGGCTGTTCGCCCTTTTCTTCTCTATTGAATTAGTTAATGCTTTTCTAAATTAAATTGTGAACTGATCTTTGATAATTAGTATAAAATTATGTAAGTGTCCTAAAATGGTGAAGTAAATTTTGTTAGATTCCTAAATTCATGATCTAGCTTTTAGTGTATTTAGTTCATATAGTTCTATGGTATCTTTAAGGTTACTCTATTTGTTGTAATATGCTTGTTGTTATTATGATTATTTAGAGAATGAATTTTCGTGATGAAATGGTAGAAGTGCTAGCTCTGAAAATTTTATAGTAGACTCATAACATTATTAGGCACTCACTGTAATTTTTGTAGCCTTGGAATATATTGAGAAATATGGTAGCTAAGTATTCCTTGTTGTAGTACATATATTAAATCGATAATAAGAATAGGGACACCGTTAGTTGCTAAGATAATACATGCACTATTTCATACCTGTTTAGTGGTAGTAATAGGTAACTTAGCGTCTTAGTTGGTAGAACTAGCTTAGTAGCTTAATAGATGTATTCTTATTTTAAGAGTTGTTGTTGCCGTATTATTAAGTATTGCATCATCATTTCATGCACGTAGATAACGAGTTGGTAGAGTTCGTGCCTGCGGGCGAGCAGGAGTACGAGGAGATCATTGAGGAATACGAGTTTTGAGATTCTCGTACAGGAGGGAGCCCTGGAGCCATCAGTTGCTGACTTTGCTGACACCTCGCCTGCCCAAGGCAAGCCCCAGTGCATAACCCTTATTTTGAATGATCACTGGATATATATATATATGATGTACATTTATGTTACAGGCATTTTATGGAAACTACATGCATAGATATACCTACCTATGAGTCCTCCTAGCATAGGGCGAGTAGTTGCTATGCTCAGAATTTCGGTAGCGTGAGTAACCTGCCGTTACTCACAATAGGTGATTATTATTATCACTCAGGATAAAAATGGTGAAAGGAAAATGGAGATCGGGCAGGGATATGGTTTGGGTATCGGTGGGTGTAAGAGGTTGTGTCCTACGGCCTACAGAGCATAGCTTGGTTACACTGTTTCCCTGTCTGTGTCGGTTAAGGACCGGCCATTGCATTGGGTTCTAAACAAGTCACAGACTTATTATCCCGAGCACATACTTGTGTATGCGCGCAGGGAAGGCTTGTTGCTCTCTTGTCGTGGATTTTGGCTCTTTTCAAACCGACTGATTAGAGGCAGGGATGGTAGAGGTCTAAGCACTGCACTAAGTCCGAGACTTAGGTGCGGGGGCTTGGAGTCCAAGTTTGGATAGGGACCTGGACCCCATGACAGGAGAGTGGTGGGTTGGTCCTGCTTGTGCCTAGGGTACAAGCGGGGTGTGTGTTTCGGGATACCCAGCTGGGCACATTGATTCGTGAATCGTCGGCGATCCGGTATGGCTTGTCTACAGTCTAGCACCGTAGTAAGAATTGAAAGATGAAAGGTGGTGAAATGGAATTGTTTGCTTAACTCCTGGTCCCCGTGATAGAAGAGTGGTGGGTTGGTCCTGCTTGTGCCTGGGGTACAAGCGGGCCATGTGTTTCGGGGTACCCAGCTGGGCACATTGATTCGCGAATCACCAGTGATCTGGTATGGCTTGTCTATAGTCTAAGACCGTAGTAAGAACTAAAAGATGAAAGGTGGTGAAATGGAATTGTTTGCTCAACTCCTGCTTGAAAGTAGAATAGGTGCTTACATAGAATGGCTAGATAATGAAATAATCATGACTGCTAATAATAAACATGCATAAGGAAGCAGTATTAGAATTGCTTTTCGTAAAAAGGAAACCCAACAAACCAAAAGCTTATCATATCCCTTGGAGTCAGGAAATTATTCCCACTAGTCGGATAAGTCTTGCGAGTACATTGTGTACTCAAGGTTTATTTACCCCTATTGCAGGTACAGCTTGAGGCGTAGCTGTTGTGTGAAGGATTCTTCTGGTGGGTACAGACAGATCCTTATATATGATCGATAGATGTTTCTTTTCATTCCGATGTTTAATTTCCGCACTCTGAACTTGGTATGTAATAATGTCTTTCTAAGAACTCTAGATGTATGAAATGGACTAAGTAATGTAAACTCGTTCTCATTATTGGATCCTGAGGGAAAAATGTGGATTATTCGGGCTCTCCCTTGGGGTGTGCTCAACAGAATCCGACCGATGTAGCTCGCTCTCAGGGTGCTTAGTATCTAGTGGAAGACAA